ATGCCCGGTTGATTTTTTGATTTATTGTAGAGATGAGGTATCGCCTGCCCAGTCGGGTCTCGACCCCACGGGCTCAGGCAATCCACTCACCTCAGCCTCCCAAAGGCACGAGATTACAGGCTGAGCCACCGAGCCCGGCCGTTGCTCTATTTTTTTCTTTCTTCTTTTGAGTTAGTTTTCACTCTGTTGCCCAGGCTGGAGGGCAGTGGTATAAACACAGCTCACCGCAGCCTTGACATCCTGGACTCAGGTGATCTTTCCATCTCGGTCTCCTGAGTAGTTGGCACTACAGGCACACACCACCACGCCCAGCTAATTTAAAAAAAATTTTTTTGTGGAGATGAGGTCTCACTATGTTGCCCAGGCTGGTCTCAAATTCCTGGGCTCAAGCAATCCTCCCACTTTGGCCTCCCAAAGTGCTAGGATTACAGGCACAGGCACTGCTCACAGCTCAAGTTGTTGTATTTTTGTCTTGCTGGTGACATTTATTCTCAGCATCTTTTGGCACTAGCTTTGAACAAGAAATTGTACTTGGCATTAAATCTTCAAAATAATCAGTGAGTAGAGAGAATTACGATGCCCACTTCATAGGTGGAAAAACTGAAAATCAGAGACATTGAACAACCAGCCCAAGTTTCCCTGGCAATAAAGTAGGGAAGCTAAGAGTTGAACCTGAACATTTATGCCTTTCATGTTCATATTTCACATTATCATACAGTGCTTGTTTATTTATATTCATTCTCTATAAAACTGACATTTCAACACAGAAATACCAATAGGCAATTGACAAGGAAACAAAGTAGTATGTTTTGCTGGAAAATTTAGAAAATTAAAAAAAAAATTATGACGGGAAAAATTTTCTAAGTAATAGGTACTATCAAGAGGGAGAGGGTGTGTGTGTGTGTGTGTGTGTGTGTGTGTGTTAACTGCAATATCATACTGTGCTGATACAGATACTGTGCCACTTTTCTAAGAGAACATGCTGTTAGTAATGGGTTCACAGTGCTCACTTATATTAATCTAGAGCTGTGGCTGAATTCCATATGGATTCCTAGGGTTTGGGTAATTAGGAGCATTACCAATTTAAAATGTCATCCAGACTCCAAAATTGGCTGTCAGGCTGTCTATACTTTTAGAAATACCAGCATTCTCTCTTCATCATTCTCCCCAGGAGATACATCATCTTCACGTGGCCATGGTCTGTTGCAAGAACACTCATGACTGCCATTTAGGAAGTGGAGGCTGTTAAGTTGAATAATGCAATATGCAGCCCAAAGAAAGATGCACCACATTCAGAAGAACCTTTCTAGAACCTTCTTCAATTAAAACTACAGCACCTTAGATTCCGAGTATAGCCCAAAATTTGGATGTAAAGTTAACAGGCAATGGAAATCGCACCTGGATGCTCTGGGAACAGGTGCCCTACAAATATGTAAATAGAGCTCTTTGTCTAATCTATCAGAGTGGCACAAACCACATCTTAGAACAGTGCTTTTCAGTTTTTGATATCCTGCAGATTATACAAACAAACAAATTAGGAGAGAGAAGGGGGAAGGAAATGAGAAGAGAAAAACAGACAGAGATGGGAGGAGTCTTACAATCTTTGATATGCTCTTAGAAAATTGGTCCAGTTGGTAAAAAGATACTTTAATAGTCCTGGGTCATAATATCTAGTCAAATACTGAAAAATTAGAGGCAATTTTCTAAATATGCAAGCCAAAATAATCTTAATAATTTGGCTATTTCAAATTAAAGAATAGGCCTTGAAAAAAATATGATCTTTTGTTAACACTGTCCAGATAATTAATCTGCTTCCCACCTATATGTATATTAAAAAATCTCGACAAGTGAATTTTCAGTTATGTAACTGGTGAGAGAGGATGAGAAGTGTGAGGAACATTTTGCCTTGTTTACATAAGCCAAGCAGCTTTGGAAACAAAGCTATGGAGGGCCAAGGATAAATTCTATGGTGAAAGCAAATATTTAGACACTAATGGAAATATACTACCTCAGCCCTTTCCAGCTAGGGTTTCCAAGGCTGTGAAAGAAGAGAGGACATTGACAAAGATAATTCCATTACACTTTCTTACATAGCGCCTTAGGAAGCCTTGGAGCTCTCTCTAATTGTATTTCTTTGTCCTTTCGGAAGATAATATTGACTATTTTTTATTCTAGCATTGGTAGATAATCACAGAACCGGGCATATTTGAGGAACTTGGCAGACATTAAGTTATACTTTCATGCACTAGGAAAAAGTATCTCTCCTCAGGCAGAGGCAAAAGAGAATAATAGTGTTCTTGTATCTGTAGAACAGTTTACAGCTTCCAAAGGATGTTCCCCTGATATTATTTTATCTTCATGCCTCCCTGGAATAGAGAGTAGATAGTTTTGTGCTCATTATATTGATAAGGAAACTGAGACTTGGAAACATTCAGTAGTCCAGCCCAAGGTAACATGGCTGGTAAGTGGCAGAGCTGAAATGAGAATACAGTACTGAGCTCTTCACATCATGACTGCCTTCTTTTTGTGTAGCAAAAGAAGAGAGAAAAGGGTGAACTATGAAGAGATGCAAATCTGATCATATCACATCTCTGACAATTCCATGAAGCTGGAGGAGGAGGAGGTCTCTTTGTTCTGTTGTCCTGAGTTCTGAGCAATCCAGCAATGACTGACCTTTCTGATCTCTTCTTCTATATCCTTCACCCTTCTTCCCCACACACTCTCAGCTAGGAATGATGTTACTTTACTTTATTCTGTGCTCCCTTGTGTGGAATTCCCTGTGGCAACAGAAGCCATCACTCTACCAGATGTTTATGCTCTCTCAGAGTACAGCTACTTGGAGGTAATGGCTTAGGCCAGACTACATCTCCTCACCCCTTGCATTTTCATGCACCATGATTACTTCTGGCCAATGGGATATGAGGAAAAGTGATGAGTGTCACTTCTGGGCCCAGGTGGTTAAAGACTCAGCATACCTTCTCTACTTTCTTTGCTCCTTATGCAGTGATACTGAAGATCACCTGTTGAAGATGAAAAGAGCCTGAATCTCTGGGTTGTCACTTTGGGAAGAGTTGCTCAGAATACACTAGATGTGGCATGAACAAGAAATAAATTTTATTATGCCAAACCACTGAGATTTTGGGTTTATTTGTTTCAGTAGTTGGCATACAGCGATCAATACATTTCCCTTGGGTAACATTCCTTCCTTTCATTTTTCTACCTGAAAAGCTTGTCCTATAAGACCTAGGTCAAATCTCACATCTCAGGGAGTCTACAGTCCCTGACTTCTCCAGTAAGTCTAAGTTGTGCTTTCTGGTATCTTGTGTGTAGTTCTCTAATGCACTTATCACAGGATATGGCAAATATTTCTTTACACGGTTGTCTTTTCTGCTTAGCCTGTGAGCTTCCCAAAGACAGAAATCACATCATTTATCTCTAAGCACCTATTTATCATTCAGAACCATGGGGAACACCAAAATCACTAATAATTATGTGTTGCCTTAATGATTAAATAGGATAATCCAAAATGGCAGTCTCCTAATTCCAGCATCACTTTGAAATATCTCTTGAAAAGGCCTATGACTTTTGTCCACCATTTTGACTCTGGGAGTACTCTTGCATCACAAACCAATACCCAAAGAGAATGAGCTCAGGGTACCCTTGCTTTATTCAAGATTTGTAGCTTGAACTGTTTCATTCAACTTTCCTGGTCTTCTGCATTCTAACCTGTTTCTTATTCTTGGCCTACAAATCACCTCATGGATCTGATACTTGACACTGTTTCCCTTCATGATCTCCAGCCTTCTTCCTTGACTATGCTCTGAACATGACACTCTTCTATTTGAGGTAGCCTTATGTCAAATCTTTCTGGCTGGACACAGTCCTCCTCAGAAGATTTCACACTTGTTTCTGCCACAGGGCCTTAGTATATACCACTCCCTTTGCCTGGGGTGCTCCCCACTGCATACTCTATGTTATTAGTTTGTGATATTTTCTTTTAACCTACTCAATGATTCTTTTGCTGGATATCTTCTGTTTGCTCCTTTGGATCTATCCTGCACTCTTCTCCTTACTGCTCTTTGTCAGAAACCTGACCTATATGGACTCCCTTGTCATTAGATTCCAGCTGGGATCAGTTAAGAGAAATGACAACAGGATGTC